CTCTGTGGGCTCTTGCTCCTGACCAAATGGAGTGAGACCAGAATAGACTCTCACGGAGGGAGCTCGGTCGGTTTTCCTTCCAGCACTCACACAGACTCGTAAGCATATCTAATGGGCCGTGAGGGCTCTTCAAACCCTAAGTCCTAAATACTCAATAGTCCCTCAAGCCAGTTCCAAAGGCTGAAGACCTACACAGTCAAGTTTCTCAGAGTGATAGCCCCATTTCTCAGAACTGATTCACTTCTGCTGTGATGAAATGCTGTGGCAGAACCAACTTACGGGAGAAAGGACTTTATTTTCCTCGCCGTTCGAGCTCGCCATGGCCAGGAAGACATGGCTTGTCACATTGCCTCTAGAGTCAGGAAGCAGGGAGAGTTGACTGACAACACTCCTCCCTCTCCTTCTCATTTTCAATGCCTCTGGCCTAGAATGAGTTTGGCCATTCAGCCCACTAGACTGTTGGAGCAACTATTGGTGCCCTGGCTTCTGAATTTCCTTAAGCACCCCATCAATACATGTTACTGACCCTAGTCCTAGCCACATCCTGTCCACTCTACCATCTGAGAAGTCTGACACCTCCAGGTTTCTTGTAATAAAAGCAGCAAACTCTTCTTTGTTTTTGTCGCTAGTGTACATTAATAGTAGAGTTTTGTCCTTGACTCTGAGTCAGGCTCCGGGCTTGTCCTCTGGGAATGCTGGCATCTGGCTCATGTGGACAGGGAGAGAATGAGTTACCTGGGCATCTTCTTGAGAGGGAATTTAGCAAATGAGGTGGTAGTGTAAACAAGAATAGGTTGCTACCACTGCCAGGGAGGCCTGTACACTTGGTGGGACACTCTTAGATTTGTCTGTTCTGCCCGAGTATCCCCACTCAACTCTCAAGGTCTCAGTGGTTTAAAGGTTGGTCACCTATGAGAACTGACAAGGCTGTAATCTAATTTGACCATCCTGCAATCTGCCCAACTAGATTTTGGGCCTGATTTGCAGTCAAGGAAACTATGAGAAATAAGAGATTCTTGTATCAACTCTCTAATTCTCTGCTTGGCCTTGAAAGTAAGTCCCGAACTTATCCACTTTGTGTGAGCATTCAGTTCATGGCATTGTCCTTCTGATCATGCCACCATGAATGTCTGTGTACAACTGGCCTTTAAGTTGTCTTCAGTGGGTATAGTAGCTCATGTCTGTAATCCCAGCACTTGGATGAGGCAGGGGGATTGCCATGAGTTTGAGGCCAACCTTGTATTTATAATAAATGAACTATAAGCCTACATATGATATGCCATGCCATGTCACCAGTATCTCACTTCCACTGGCAATGAGGTCTTCACTGCACTGGAGGTCAAAGAACAAGCAAATCCAGCCAAAAATAGACCTCTGGGTGTCTCTTTCCTGGGACAGTCCCAGATAACTGTTTTGGTTAGAGTCTGTAGGTATCCCAAGCAGAAAAGGTTCAGCTACAAGTATGCTATATTGACATTTAAGATCCATTTCAGGGGAGGTGGGGCTTGTGGTATGTAGCCCAGCCCTGCTTCCTGTCCTGTCTCTGCTTCTGATCTGGATGCAAGCAAGCAACTTCTACCCACACGAACTATCTGCGACCACGCCTTTCCCCGTGATGGACTGTGTCCCCTCAAACTGTGAGCTAAAATAAAACCTTTCTTCCTGGAAACTGCTTCTTTTAGGCATTTTATCACAGCACTGAGAAGAGTAACACCCCCGGCATCACAACTATCCAGCAGGGATCCGGGAGCCTGACACCTGCCTCCTGTGGCTGTACATACAGCCGCCACCATCACTGTTGTCACACAATACGCTGTCAGAAGTCTGAGCAGAGCCATTGCTCCCATCCTCGTCTCCCACCAGTGCGGCTTTCCCACGGACGAACTCGACAGAAAGTTCACATCCACATGCCAAGTTCCTGCTGGATGAAACATGGCACTGGCTGGTCTCTGGGAGTCACTAGGGAATAAAATCAGTTTCCAATGAAGCTGGAAATGTGGCTCAGTGTTAATGGACACTTACTACTCTTCCAGAGAACCAGGATTCAGTTCCTGATACCTACTTGGTGGTTCACAGTAATCTGTAACTCCAGTTCTGGGGAATCTGATGCTCTCTTCTGGCCTCCCTGAACATCAGGCTTGCATGGCGTGCACAGACGTACATGCAGGCAAAACACACTTGTACACATAAAGTTTAATGAAATTCTTTTACAAAAATGAGCTGGGGCATATAGTCATGGGGAAAGAAACGGTGGGGTTGGGGGAGCCAGTGTACACTTTATCTGAAAGGACTGTCCAATATATATGACAGAGGATTTTTATCTGGAAGGTACAAAAACACCCTAAAAATAAGTTAAAGTATTAGGTACAGGGCTGGAGAGATGGCTCAGTGGTTAAGAGCACTGGCTGCTCTTCCAAAGGTCCTGAGTTCAATTCCCAGCAACCACATGGTGGCTCACAACCATATGTAATGAGATCTGGCACACTCCTCTGGCGTGTGGTCTTACATGGAGGCAGAATGTTGTATACATAATAAATAAATAAATCTTTTTTTAAAAAAGTATTAGGTACAGAAATAAGCAAAAGACAAAACAACCAGGTCCAAGCAGACATACCTGATTTACTCATCACGGGAGGTAAATAACACATAATTACCTAGGTGAGTACTAATAAAATGTCAAAGCTGGGGGGTGGCACAGTGGATAAAGTGCTTGCCACCCAGCATGAGGACCAGAGTTGGAGCCCCAGCACCCCCATGAAAGCCAGGGTGAGCAGGATATCTCGGCTGTGATCCCAGAACTCGGGGCAGAGGGCATCCCTGGAGCAAGCTGAATGAAGCAGTTTGATCAGCAAGCTTGGGGTTCAGTGCAACCCTGCCTTGTTAAATGATGTGACAAGTGATTGAGAAAGACACCTGATGTCAACCTCTGACTTCCACATGCATGAGCACAAGAGCATGTGCGCCCAAATACATGTGAACATGCATACATACACATAGACCACATGACCACATATACATACAAAAAGAATTTTTAAAGTCTGGCAACAGTTAAGTACCCTTGAGGAAACAAAGCAACTGGAAACTCAAACCGTTGCAGAGAGTGCAAACCAGAGCACATTGCCTGCATTCGGACCCAGGCGGTTCATCTTCAGACCCGTAACCAAGAGATACTGACATCCACAAAGGAGCATGTGCAAGAACATGGAATCTGTATTCAGAAAAGCCCCAATCAGGAAACAGCCCTGATCACTATGGATGTCCACGAAGACACACGCTTACACCAGTGCTCTCAGCAGGGTGGGTGAATGACACCGCAGAGAAACTTCTTGTATGAAGTGAATCGCTAGGGTACTTACTGGCTGGGGAGGGGCTCAGAGTGTCCTGTTGGCATGCTGAGCATGGTTTTGGTTGAGAGGGGTCGAGTTTATACATGTCTACGTGATGCAAAAGCTCCTCAACCTGTAAACAAGATTTATGCACATCTTTTATTATTTGGATATGAAGTGTCACCTTAAAGTTGAAGACTTAGCCCCCAGCTGGTGGCACTATTGATAGGTGGCTGGGTTATGAGAATGGCAACCTCATCAATTGAGTTGATCCATTAATGAGTTCACAGCTGGAGGAAGCACAACCTGGTTGGAAGAAGCAGGCCTCAGGGCATGCCTTCCGAAGGCTGTCTTGTCCCCAGACCCTCTTTTTGTCCTCTGCTATGAGAGCAGCAGCCTCCTCTGTCACAGTCACCAGCTCTTCGTAGGCTCACAGCAATGGGGCAGGCTGACCAGAACCATAACCCCCGGATACCATGCGCCAATGTAAGCCTGTGCTCCCTCTCAACAGCTTCCTCCCTCGGGTGTTTGGTCACGGTGACAAACGGTTGATTGACACACCTAGAAAGAATGCCTTTCTTCAGAAAATGGACACAGAAGGACGAGGAACATGAAAATTCATAAATACTGAAGTGCTACGAAGAAATTCGAAGAGATACGATGAAAGGACGCAGGCTGACTGACCAAGCCGAGACCTGAGGGGAAGGAGGTGCAGACTGAGAAGTGTAGGCGCTACCTTCTGGCCAAGGAGCGCCAGCGCAAAGGCCCTCGGGCAGTATCCAGTCTGGTGTCATGGAGCTGAAACACAGCGAGGGAGCAGGGGAGTGGAGGGAAGCCTGGCTAGGGGAAGCCCTTAATCTGGCTTTTTGTTTGGGGATGTATGAATTAGAATTAGCAGGGCCGTGGGGACTTGGAAGTGGGCACAGGGGAAAGAGACTTTGGGGACTTTCATGGTGAGCACACCTGAAAGGCAAGAGGGCTGGAAGTCCATCTATGGGCGTGGGCAGAGGCCTGGAGGCCAGTGTGCTTGGTCGTGAGTGGAGGCTCGGCAGCTGCCTGACAGAGCTTTAACAACTTCTCCAGAGTCAGCTGAGAACTCAACGGGGAGGCGACCGAGCGAGCTGAGTCTCCTTTGCAGGCTGCTGGACCACTCAAGAGCCCTGGGCACAGAGGCCCCAATGCAGTGGTCGTGCTCAGGGTCCCTGGGTGAGGTTTCTGTCTTGGAAACCTGGATAGTTCACACTTCCAGTCACCCAAAGATACATGCAGATGGTGTGTGTGTGTTAGACAGAAGAGAAAGAAAGGGGATGGGGCAGAGTCAGAGGAAAGGTAGAATAGAGAAAAAGAGAGGTAAAGAGAAATAAAAAACAATTTTCTCCGTTCCTTTCCAGGGTGGGGCTGTTTGCTCGTTCAGGACTGCAGGTCTGCTGAGCTTTAAACTCTCTCTTTCCCTCTCTCTCTCTACCTCCTTCTCTCTCTCTCTCTCTCTCTCTCTCTCTCTCTCTCTCTCTCTCTCTCTGTGTGTGTGTGTGTGTGTGCATGCGCGCGTGTGTTTGCATGTGTGGGGGGCGGGCACACTGTCCCAGGAGGACAGAGTTTGCATTGATGAAAACCCTTCCCAGCTCTTTGAAGCTCCTTTCCCTGCTGCCCGAGCCCAGCCGCTTAGTCCTCTGTGTCCCACACACTGCTCACTCACTGCCAGGATGGCATCTTGTCTGACCCTGCACATGGTGCTGCTGCTCATCTCTGGGGTCCTAGCCCCTGCGGTGCTCACAGGTAAGGGGCGCGGGCCGTTGGCTCTGCTGCCACCAACTTCTCAGGGCCAGCATTTACCAGTGGGGGATAGATTCTGCAGTATCTACAGAGCACAAGCCTCTCACAAGAGGCGGGATGATTCTCACAAGAGGTGGTGATTCTGGGGGTGAAGGGGATCCCCACAATGCTGACTGGTAGAAGTGGAATAAGATGATGTGTCAGGGACCTGTTAGCAGCCGGGATGGGTGACATTGACTTAGGAGGGCGACCAGGGTATCAGAGTTGAGGACATTCAGTTGTCTGGAGTTCTGGGGCGTATTTTGTCACTTAGGAGAGCTGGAGGTTTCTGGATCTGGGAGGCAGGAGGTCTCATCAGACAGAGGGCAAAGGGCTAAGAGGCCAGAGCCCTGGATGCTGAGCAGAAAACCTAGCGACTTGGAATTCCTTTAAAACCTGCAAACCCTTCCATGCTGGCTTACGACCTAGGTTCTGTTCCCATAGAGGTAAATAGCTCTCAGAGTCCTTTACAGCACAGTGAAGGCAATGCACAGAGACCCAGATGGCTGCATCGGGGGTCTGATGAGAGAGGCCGCATTGGCAGGGCTGTTCCAGGTCACCTTCAGAGCAGGGACATAGGCACAGGTAGGCTTGGCTCTACAAGGGAATAAATTGTCCGCAGTGGTTCAGTAGTCAGCAGACGGGCAGCCTGCCTCTGAGTTCCCCAATTGTCTCACAACATTGCCGCCTGAACTTCAGGGGTGTTTGCGAATCTCTGAAGGAGAGCAGTCACCTCCGTTATGAAAGCAGGGCCTGGGAACTCCCAGTCACACTCCAGGAGGCGCAGTGATGGTGGTCTGGGGGCCTTTCTCTCCTCCTCGACACCCCAGGAAGCAGCTTAAGGCCTGCTGGTCTCATAGCTCTCCTGGCCCTTTCCCCACCTCCAGGAGGTAACACTCACTCCACTGCCTCTCTCACAGGGGCATGGTGAGACCTCACCAGGTCTGATGTGCAGGACTCTCAGGGTGGCCAAGTGCCCAGTCAACAATCTGTCTTCAGAGTTTGAGCAGGGTTCCCAGCCCCTCAGCTAAGCCCAAAGGGATCTTAGGGAGAGCCATCTCTTCTTACCGATTAGGACACACCTAGTTTTTTGGGGAGTGGGAGCAGTGCCCAGGGATGTAGTCTGAGATACCCCTGATGTTGGGAGATGTGACTTACAGTGCTGGGAGGCATTTTCCATTACCTTGGACCCAGGGCTGAGACCCATGCAGCTTCCTGCCACAGTGAGGCAGTTGCTTGGCAAAGCCCTGCAGCTCAGGCCTTCCTAGTGGCTCCTGCCCAGATTCCCGCTGCCTCTTCCAGCTCAAACTTTTAGCCAGAGCCCCGGTCAGGTGGTGCTCACACAACTTTGGTAGGTGGGCTTTCTGCTCCCACAGAAGCTTTGGGAATAGTCAGGACCTCACCTGACCTCACCTCCCTCTTCCTTCCACGGGTGCCCACCTCCAAGTACAGGCAGGCCCACAGCAAGCATGGGAACGCCAATTGAGTCTTGGGGTTCTGACTGTTCTGGCAGCGGGGAGATAGGAGCCCTAGACCCACAGGTCTGAGCAGGTAATGTACAAGGTCCACAGCCCGACTCTCTCTCCTGGGCTGTAGTCCTGGATCAGGAAAGAGATGGCATAGTCCTGGGGTTGAGGCCCAGGCCAGCCTGCTACCCTCCCTGCCTCAGCCAATGGCCATAGCCACCAAGGTAGAGGAGCAGGCCAGGGTGAGCGGGCAGGAGGCCAGAGTGAGGATGAAAAGACTCTTCATGATTGCACAAAGGCCGTCTGTGAGCCTGGGCGCCTGGCCTCAGGGCCTGTGGTCAGACTAACCGTTGAACAAACTTATTTACCAAAAGGTAGAGCAGCTTGGGGTGGTGGGGCTAGGGGACAGCCTGAGGTGTCCGAGCTTGTGGCACTGACACCGTGCCCCCTCTGCCAGAACGGAAAGTCCGGTGGCATTGCTCACTCTCCTATGGTAGGTCTTGTTGTAGCCAAGGTGGACAGACCCTTCTCAGGAGTCTCCTGCCATGTCTCCCTTCCTTAGCCTTACTTGCTGTCACTCAGCCTACTCCCTCCACATCCTGTTCCTGGGGCCCAGGACTACCCCCCCCCCCCCATTTCTTCTCATCGTTACCCCTTTCCTGCTGGTACACTGACCCATAGTTCCTGGCTTCCCCGGAGGACTTGGAGGGAGCCAGCTTGTTGCTCTCCCTCACTGTTCCAAGTCTGGGGAACATGGAGTGTGTAGGAAAACAAGATAAGGCCTGGGCTATGGCCCACAGAAGCATCTCCTTCTTTGGTGGGTTGGGGCAAGCACAGTCCCTGGCCAGGGAACAGGCACTGCTTAGGCAAACTTGGCCTGATTGAAACTCATTCCTTGGGCGGTTTTCCTGGCATTGGTGGTGAGCTTTGGCCAGGAGTGATGGGAGAGGGAGAGGCCTGCCTGGCTGTTTGGGGTGTGTCCTGAGGAGTCTCAGGGCAGACTGTCAGTCTACACGGCCCAGACCTCAGGGCCGTAGGGCAGGCATGCTCAGGGCTTTTCTCTGTCCAGCCCTGGGAGCCTGAGGCTAGACTGCTTGAGGCCTTTCAAGAGGGCTTTCAGGCTGTAAACACTGCCTTCTCTGACCAGGTCACTTTGCCCTCTTCACAGAGGGCTCTTCATAGTTAGCGGGGGGGGGGGAGGGGGGGGGGGGCTGACCTGGGCGCCAGACCTGAACTCTATGAGAGGGAAGCAGTCTTGGGAGGCCTTTTGCATGACAGTACTCCTTACCTCCAAGTTGAGTCTCAAGTTTGGCCCAGACTTGTGAGAGGTTTCAGGGTAGAACCTAGGGAGTCAGGGGTCGGCCAAAATCTTATAGTAAAAAGATTCCAACAAGATTCCAAGTTTACCAAAAAAAAAAAAAAAAAAGTAAAATTATCTACGGAACCCCAACACAGCCTTTACCAACATCTGCCACGCTGCTCCTTCACCAGTTACCAGTGTCTGCTACACTGCTTCTTTGCCTAGTTACCAGTTACCAATGTCTGCTACGCTGCTCCTTCACCAGTTACCAGTTACCAACATCTGCCATGCTGCTCCTTCACCAGTTACCAGTTACTAATGTCTGCCACGCGGCTCCTTCACCAGTTACCAGTTACTAATGTCTGCCATGCTGCTCCTTCACCAGTTACCAGTTACTAATGTCTGCCACGCTGTTCCTTCACCAGTTACCAGTTACTAATGCCTGCCACGCTGCTCCTTCACCAGTTACCAGTTACCAGTGTCTGCCACGCTGCTCCTTCACCAGTTACCAGTTACTAATGTCTGCCACGCTGCTCCTTCACCAGTTACCAGTTACCAGTTACCAGTTTCTGCCACACTCCTCTTTGACCCCAGATGCAGAAGCAGTCCAAAGCCAACTTTATTTGTCCTGAGTCGTTCAGTTAAGAACAAAGACACTCTCTTTCCCAACCCGAATGTGGCATCAAACTGGCACATTTGATGGTCCTTACCAGCCTTCCTGGGAGTCTCTGACAGGACATCTGACTCCTCCCTTGTCCTGGCCACAGATCCTTCTCATTCCCAGACCTTGGCGGTTTTGAGGACTTGGTTATTTTGAGGCTGACTGGAGTCAGGCTTTGGCTGTGTGCTCTGTTTGCCCCGGGTGGGCACCATGGGCAGAAACACACAAATCACTTGGGTCTACCCTGAGCAGTCCCTATCCTGAGCTTGTCCATGGGGGGCAGGGGGAATCACCCAAAGATGGAACCCTTGGCTCAAAGGAGTCTCAGGGACCTGCAGGTTGTGGCTGGGCTGGTAACAGAGCTGCAGCTGGAGTTCTGTCAGATGACATGGCCATCGCCAGCCTGCCCCGAGCTCAGGACCAACCCGCCCTGGCTCTCTCCTCTCAACCCAAGTCTTGGCCCTCCAAGCAGCTAGAATTAATAGAATGAGATCCTCTGGGTCTGTGTGAGGGACCTGTTTGGGGACTGAGTGTTCCTGGATCACTTGCCTTCCAGGGACCAGCTGAGATGCTGGGGGGGCAGGCCAAGGGGAAATCTCAGAGCTTTTGACCAGCCTGGTCTTGAACTTCTGTCTGGGGGAGGAGGCGGTGCTCTTTACAGTGGTGAGTGTTAGGGAGAGGGAGGACTGTGTCAGGTGGAAACATCCCTTGACTCCCGTAATCCTGTGTTTCCTGTCTCCTTCCTTCCCTCTGGGATCCCTTGGGTGCCCCCAAACCATGCTGACTCCAGCAGAGGACTCTTGGTGAAAAGGCCACTCAGGGACCCATGCTCTGACTGAGACTGACTTAGTGTGAGAACCGCCTTCTCTTCATCAGCCCTCCTTCCCGTAGGCAGTGATGTCCTTGTCTTGGGTTGAGGGAGGGGCTGTTAGATGCCTACGGTTGGTCTCCTGATCTGAGGCTGTGGCTTAGGTGGGCTTCTCCTGGTCTTTCCTTGAGTAGTGGCACCCTCAAAAGTCCTTGACTCTCAGCTTTTGCCCCAGGTGAAGACTGAGCCGTGTCTGCCCTGAGGGACAGAGGAATCCCCTTTTTGCAACTGCCCCTGTCTCTCTGCCCCAATCAGTCTGACCTCCTGTGAGCATTAGCTCAGTGGGTGTTCTGGGTCACACGTGGGTGGTCTCTCAAACTTAGGAGTGAATTTCCTAGCCAGGTGCCCCACCCTATGGAATGTAGGGGCTGGGGTACTCCTAAGCATGAGTTCTCAGTTGTTTTGGTGGGGAGGGTCGGCATCCCTACCAGCAAACCACCTGAGTCCCACTACTTGTCCTTGGCTTTGCAGCAGAGGGTCCCCAGGTGCCCAGTCCCACCCTGTGGAACGAGCCCATTGAATTGGCATCAGGTGAAGGTCCTTTGGAGAGCACCAGCCACAGCCAGGAATTCGCAGCCTCAGGCCCGCCGTTCCCCACCTCTGCCCCAGGACCAGAGGACAACAGCCCTCCTGCGGGGGTGGACCAAGACGGAGGTAGGGTGTGGGCCGGGCAGGGAGAGGGAGGAGGATGAGAGGGAGGGGAGGGAGGAAGAACAGCTTGAAGGGTCAGGCTTTGGCTGGACCTCTGAGGTGACAAGTTCCTCTGTTCTCCACAGGATCACTTGGGCCTGGCGCCATTGCAGCCATCGTGATCGCCGCCCTTTTGGCCACCTGCGTAGTGCTGGCACTCGTGGTCGTTGCGCTGAGAAAGTTTTCTGCTTCTTGAAGCCAATAAAGAGCTGCGCAGGCCCGCCCGCGGCGACTCTGCAACCTGTGCTCTCCTTTGTCCCCTCCGCGTCCCCGATGTCCCCGCGTGTGTGAGCCTGCGTGCAGGTGTAGCGGCATGTGAACCTGACGGGGGGGGGGGGCGTGTTGCTGGGCCACGCCGCGTGCCTGGAGCCGTGGGTGGAAAACTCCAGGCGGGGAACATGTGCACGCGTGGCAACGTGTGTGTGTGTGTGTGTGTGTGTGTGTACGCGCGCGCGTGTGTTGTGTGTGCCGGGAGTGCACGCAGGGCGCGGGGAACTCCGGTGTCCACTCTCTAAGGACCATTCGCGGCGGGATTTAGGGCCACCGAACTCCTAGCCCTTTGTGCTTCTGCCTGGCAAGACTGGGGGCGGGGAAGCAGAGCTGGAGAGCTTGACCCAGGTTCCTTCTGTTTCTTGAGACCAACTGGCAAATGGTGGAGGACTGACATTGGGTGGGGTAGTAAAGGCTTTTAACCTTGACTCAGGCAGGAGGGGCCATCTCCTAATTCAGAACCCCAATCCTTGTGTCTTCACCCCTCCTCCCAAGGCTCCAAATTTTCCCATTTCCAACCACACACTCTTCTAGGCCTCGGGTTCACATATGTTCTCCCTGGGGCTGTTCCTCTTTCTCTATCTGACCCAGAAGTTGGAGAGCACTCCCGGACAGAATGAGGAGGGGAGTGGAGATGAACCAGCCAAGTAGGACAGGGTAGGAGCTGCGGCCCTCTGGTCGCACCGTGGCAAGGGGTCATCTCCTCCCAGGAATGCTCAGGGGTCTGAGGTCTCAAGATCACCAAGAACTGTGCACGATCGGTGGGAAGACACTACAAAGTCCAGCGGCTCAAACTCAAGGCCTGCTCTGGGTCTGGCATGGTGGCACATGCCTGCAATGCCAGTACTTTGGAGGCTGAGGCGGGACGATGAATTTTAAGTCCAATCTGGGCTATATTGGGACAGAGTCTCAAGAGACTAAACAAACAAAAGGCCTGTTTTGAAGTAGAGCGTCTCTCTGGCGGAATCGCAGTGCGCTGGACACTTTCCTGGGACAGAACTGGAGGAGACACTCTGAAACAGAAACAGGGTGGGGGTGGCTATGCAGGCCTGGGTAGGTGCAGCCACTCGGGGAACCAGCTGCCACCGAAGGCACAGGGGAACATCTGAGGCCAGTGTCTGGACCAGGGAGGGAGTCCGTGTCCCAGGGCTGGGGTCAGATCCCCTAATGGCCACTGCTGACTGATACCTGAGGGTCCCTGTGGCCTTGTAAGCGTGTACTTATACAGCAGCAGTAATCTCCCATTCTCTCAGAGAGCCCTTTCTTGAATCCCCCCATAAGCAGAAGCCCAAATCCATTCTCACTCTGAGACCCAACGTTAGCTGTTCCCTTTGAAGTGTTTGCAGGGCCCCTCCTCGGGGAGAGGTTTCTCCTACCAGCTCCCCCCTCCCAACCCAGAACCAAATGCCTCATTGCTGTGCGCATGGGGGTGATAAAGAATAGGCCTCCACCCCTTACTTTATACAGGATGCTTCTTTTAATGCAGCCAAAAAAAAATGATATTTGCTTTTCTCAAAACCATGACCATAAAGGATGCAGTGACCAATTCATTCTGCAAAAAAACACCTGGGCTCCTTCAGGGGCCAGGAGACACAAGCGACATCTAGCCCTTCAAGGAGCCAGAGACATGAACCCTCAGCCAAGCTCTGGGAGGCCTGCTGAGGGCAGGGCTTGGCCGTGCAAGAGAGGCTGGCAGAGGCGCAGGGAGGGGCGGGCAGCTTCAGCACCGCTCACAAGCTCCCTCAGGCAGGGGCGGCCCATTGCTGTGCCCGGTGGACTCTTTCAAAGTAGGGAAGGACATGTGCAATTCAGGGGACCTGACAGTAGTCACCTCCTGCCTGCCTCGGGCCAGGAACCCCTGCGTGGGCCTTTCTAGGCGCTGGAAGGTCTCCGGAACATTCCTACCCTCTTCTAGCTCGGAGAGACTGGGAGGTGGTGGTGTAAATCTGCTTAAGTACTTAGCCATGGCCGCCAGTGTGTAAGCAAGGGAGTGACCAGGACGTTAGTGCCCCCTACAGTGCAGGTAGGGACAGTGCAGGCCCAAGCCATTCCTGCTGCCTGGGAAGGCACTGACTTTTCCTCCCTAAGACCCTCTGTATCTTTTGGGGTTCTCTGCTGGGTCTGCACCCCCCTGCCCACACCCCTCCTTCAGGCTGGTGCCTAAGCTGGGGTTCATTGCCTATTCCGGCTGCCCAACTTCCTGCGGTCCTTATTCTGGCTGCGCTGAGGGTCCTCCATCTTGTGGACTCGGAAACATTCCTTGAGGTTCTGGGAGCGGATCTTGGGGTTGAGGATCTCCTCTGTCATGGAACTGGGAAACCAGCCTCTCTCCTGGTCATGCAGGCGCTCGCCAAAGATCCACCCTGCAAAGGAGGCGGCAGGGTCAGGGTGAGACAAGGCTGGGCTTTCCTTACTAGGCTTCCCCTCTGTCTGGGAAGCAAGGACTGAGCCACACTCAGGAGTTCAGCATTTCCCACAGGGCAGTGGCCGGGCACCCCACCTAAGCTCGGATTGCTCCTATGATGTGCTAGGAAACACATGGAATGTGAAGAACCAGGCGTCAGGCTCTCCCATGAGTGGCAGCCTATTTCTGAAGGTTCCAAGGCTGCCCCATACCAGGACAGGAGGAGACCTGGAGGGCCACCCCTAACAGAGGCATCCAGGGGGCCAGTATAGGAGACAGCTGATCACTGGGCAGTGAGCTCACCCGCTCACTGGGCATATTTTCTCAGAATCTCACTTGGAGGGCCAAGTGGTTGCTGGCGGGTGATGAGGATAGCCATTATAAACTTTGAGGACACCCTGAGTCCCCAAGTGCCCTCACATTTCTCTGTTGCCTCTTCTCTCCTAGAAGTCTTTTGCCAGGCTTGTTGCTAAACAGCCTGTCCCTACCCAGGTCGGAGGTGTGCCTTCTGCTGGCCACCTTGGGAGGAGTGTGAGGCAGTGGATTATGCTGGGGAAAGGGCAGGGAGGTCCCTGGGACCCCCAGAGGGATACTGTGGAGATCACTTTGTTTCCCAATCATGGCCCGGGACAAAGGAGGGGATAGGAGAAGGGGTCTTTGTTCTCTTCAGGTATGTTGATGGCCTCTGTTGTAAAGACATCCGGTTTTCACTCTGTGGCCAGGCCACTCATGAAATTTCAGGCATTTTTTTTTTCTGCCTCTGCCTCCCAAATGGTGGAATTACAGGTACATGCTCCTGGGATCTGGATCAAGAACATTTCATATACAAAAGTGGGGATTACTACATTGGTTACTTGGGGTTAAAAAGGGCAGGGGCCACAAGAAAACTCTTGTTTGGAGCTAATCCTGCCTGCCACCCACAGGGTGGGCAGGAACAGGGATTCATAGCCTGGTGGTCTCAGGCAACCCCAGAAGCTTGTGACCAAAGAGGTTGAGGTCAGGGTTAAGCTCCCTCCTAGGGGAGGGCTGAGGCCATAGGCAAGGCTGGTGAGAGACCGAGAACACCTGCCAGGCCTGCTGGAAGGGAAGGAGCACGGCAGCTCACAGGATGGAAGAAAGTCTGAGGAAAGCCAAGGATGCTGGGCCCAGTGCTCAGGCAGGATGTCCTGGGTAGTGCTAGCACCAGCAAGGATGCTGGGCTCTGCCTGCCCACCTGCCAGCTGTGCCATCGGGTCCTACACCCAAGCTACAGTCCTTTATCCCCTCCCAGGGTCTCCTGGGAGCCTCACCGTCCTCTGTCTTCTCCAGGATGTTCAGGATGTCTGCCAGTTCCAACGTCAGCTCATCAGGCTGCTGGGCCACGTATGGGTGTACACACTGGACCTGGGGACAGTCTGCAGGATGGGAGAGTGTATGGTGTGTCCCCATCACAGGTTCCACCCTGCCCCACATCCACACAAGCAAGGACGACAGGCAGTGACCCGGGACAACGCTGCTAGCAGCAGGTGGCTAAGTCCAGTCTTAAACAGGACCCGGGACAGCACATCAGTGAGAAAGGTCCCCTCTGGGAGGGAGGAACTCACATCCTAGGGAGGCCTCATTAGACTACCAGGAATTCTGGGGAGAGGGAGGAAAGGATTCGCTAGCTATAATGGGGTTCTCAGCCTAGAAGGCAGGAAGAACCTCTTATTCTCAGGTATGACCCAGTGAGCAGCTTGGGGTGAGGACAGGCCAGCAGGCTGGGACAGTAACTTTCTTCACAAGCCAGGCTCATGCTCCCTTGGGTCTTCTAGGAGTTTTAGACAACTGGAAAATCCAAAAGAACAATGGAGTTTGGGTCCAATATTCTGCCACCTGACTCTTAAGACTCAGGGACTTCCATTTCTTCCTTAACCATCCAATTTGAACGAAGCTGAGGCAGCCAGCATACACAGGCACTAAGCTTCCGGTTGGTCCCAGGCAGTCAAGGAACCCTGGAGCTGAGGCCCAGTGAGTCTTAGCTAAAGCCCATCGAGAGCCCCTTTTCTAAGTCAGGGACTCACCCAACAGCCGGGATGTGAAGGACACGAACTTGGTCCTCCTGTTGGGGGCCAGTGAGGTCATCCAGCGCTTCATCTCACTCCTGCATAGGAAGGGGACAGACAGTGCCCCAACTTTAGAGCCAACAAACTCCTCCCTATTGTGTGCACTTGGGCCCCCAGGTCGGCGACATTCTGAGTCTGGCTCCAGGACAGCCAAGTTAACTGCACAGGGAACCCAAGTACATTCCTCCCAGGCTAGGGGTTTGAAGCCCGACAGAGTGAGGAGCCGCCATCTGCGAGGTCCTCAAGGCTAGCTTTCAAAGATGTGCTAAAGTGAAGTCTCTCTGCTGTGGCAAAGCCTGGAGTGTTATCACCACTTCCTGTCAGTCAATCCTGTGACCTAGGGCCCAGAGTCTCAGCAGGGCAGGAAGCAATTCCTGGTGGGGTGTGGTTCTGGGCAGCTGAGCACAGAGGAAGGAGATGACGCCACCTGGGCAGGTC